GCATTATATGTATATGCGCATATATGCACATATACATATAATCTCGTTATGAGATTATATATTCAATTTGTTGAATCTTTATCAGTGAAAGGTATTCTAACAGTCCAAATAATAATTTCAAGCGGAATGCAGATATATATATGTTTGAACCTATTAGGCATAAGATTTATTACATGTTCCATATGACAAAGAAAAAAAAAACACCTTTCTTCTCCTAAAATTCAGAGTTTCCAGCAGTTTGAATAGCCACAGTGTTCTCCCCTTCTTCGCAAATGGTAAACCCGCCTTTTCAGCTGTAGTTGCTTGTTTAGGGATCTTCAATGTCATTTACTGTTTTTTTCAAGACGTTTCTTCTCTCTATATTTTCCGCACTAGAGAGGAGAGAGAGGAGAGGAGGGAGAGAGGGAGGGAGGGAGAGAGGGAGAGGGGAGGGGAGAGGGAGGAGAGAGGAGAGAGAGAGAGAGAGAGAAGAGAGAGAGAGAGAGACGAGAGAGAGAGAGAGAGAGAGAGAGAGAGAGAGAGAGAGAGAGAGAGAGAGAGAGAGTAATCGATACATGAGAAATATTTTAGGTGACTCAAGTATACATAAACAACCCATCAAGCAATTGGGTAATTTGCCATTCATAAATTACACAATGAAGCCGCGCAAAGACAATAATATCAGGTGAGAAAACATTACGATTTACATTTACAGATAATATGACATACGATTCGTATTTCACCTTCTTAAAATAATGTGTCTTTTGCAAATATAACAAAAACTCTTACAAATAGTTTTACGGGCGCATTTGTTTTAAAATAGAGATTGTTTGGCTTTTGTGATTGTGCTAGTCTCCAGTTTTACCATTTCCAATTGTTCTTTTTTAAGGAAAACATATCTTAAGCAATAATATTGGTATTCGACAAAACATTGTAATCTTTCCAAACTTTACAACATAATTCTAATGGCTGGTATTAGTTGTCAGTGAATATATTTGCGAAATAAGTGTCGCCAACCACAGACCCATACAAACTAGAGCTTTCCATTCACAAAACACTGGCTACTACGCTTGTATTGCCAGAAAAAAAGTCACTCCACGCACCATAGAGGTGGAAATATCCGCAACTGCACCAAGGCACCTACAGTGCATGTGGTGAACTAGAGTTAGGCACCCAGCAAGGGAGAGTATTGCCCCCTGTACCAATAAACATACTTATGCACTCTCGTTGCAAGCTAAACTGTGACTTAGGAGACCTATGCAGTACCATGTCCTATGCTGGTGACATTCTCATTCAGGTTTCCAGGGAGATTCAGCAAAAACTGTACATCCCTTGGTCTCATAATCAACTATAGCAAGACCAACTGTTTCCAGACACCGTAAACTGCCTCATATTCTATGGTTAGGTGGACAAGTTATTTCAAGGACTCACATTTGTACATATCAAGGTGACATAGTGACTGCTCGATGCAATTCTCGCTTCACCTTGTTTGGTTCATGACAATATTCAAGTCCTGTTCTCTGTGTCTTGCCATCCGCTTCCTGAGTTGGCCCTGTCTAGCCTCGATGCCCCAGTCTGATAGTCTAACAGCATGGAAAGTCTAAACTGCCCAGACTCAGCTTCGATCTGTGGAACATTGGTGCTAATAACATCCCCGTTACAAAATCTGTTGCCTCTTAGCATAAACCTCATGTGTATGTTCATGACAGATTTCCAGGGTCTGAATTCATGACCTAAAGAAGAGAACTAGAAACCTATCACTTGAAATATATAGATAGGACTTTATATCCTCTTTATGGCAACGCTCTCCCCTTCAGCTGCAATCAACTGCGCTGATCCTCACGGAGCAGCAGGGACTGGCGTTCTAATTCCTGACAATTTTCTTCCAGAAAGCGTGAAATCTTCAGACCGTCGGTAGCCATATCATGTATATAGTTTCCATTAAGAACAAGTATACATTTGTCATTGTATTGCATCTCTACTCAAAGAGGAATATCAAGGTTGAATCCTCAGCCAAAGGAGTACTTTTCCATAAAGAACCGTTGAAGATGGACATGGTACCATCTGGCATTATACATGTCTAAGCGCCGTGTGCACGGTAAGCTCAGCGTGGGAGACAAATTTTTATCAAACCGGGAGTAGTACTTTGACCCGGTGAGCTTCCGTTCCTATAATATTATTTCTTAGACATGACCATATAATCATATTATTTCTTATACATGACCATATAATCATATCATTTCTTATACATAAGGATGGTATTATTACGATTGCTACTGTTACAATGATGATGATATATAGAGTAATATAAAAAAAAAAAAGTGTATCATAATAATATGATAACAGTTACAAAAATGATGAATGATAGAGATAACTATGAAAATAATAATAATAATAATCCTGATAATAATGATAATAATAATAATAATGATAATAAATAATAATAAATAATAATGATAATAAATAATAATGATAATAACCAAGTTGATAATAGGAAGAAAAATTATAATTAGCAAAACTAACAACAGCAATAATAATAAGAAGAAATAAAGTCCAATACACGAGCCGTTTTTAACATGCTTGGCCGTCGGGTCGTGTTCCGGAGATCAAAACAAACGGACGAAGGAAACGGAAAAAAATCCAGAAATGTTTAAGAACCAATAACAAGGAAGAAGAAAAGATAAAAGAGACTTTAAAAGAAGGAAGAAGATGAAAAAATGTTGAAACCGAAAGAAGAAAAGATAAAAAAGACTTAAGAGAAGGAAGAAGATGAAAAAAGGTTGAAACCGAAAGAAGAAAGATAAAAAAGACTTTAAAAGAAGGAAGAAGATGAAGAAAAGGTTGAAACCGAAGAAGAAAAGAAAAAAAAAAAAACTTAAAAGAAGGAAGAAGATGAAAAAATAAAACTAAGAATAGAGGTGAGTGTTGTGAATGAGAGTAAATAAGAAAGGGATATCTATTTGAAGTAAAAAAAAAAAAAAAAAAAAAGACATCACTTTTATTAATTATATATTTTATTTAGTTGTTTTATGGCGATTTTTCAGAAAATCATCACAACCGATTGTTATGATTTGGGGCGATCTCTCTCTCTCTCTCTCTCTCTCTCTCTCTCTCTCTCTCTCTCTCTCTCTCTCTCTCTCTCTCTCTCTCTCTCTCTCTCTCTCTCTCTCTCTCCTCTCTCTCTCTCTCTCTCTCTCTCTCTCTCTCTCTCTCTCTATTCAGTTATGTCAGAAGTTCGCCGCGAAACTCCTTTCCATTAGGGACAAACTCGGCCCCGATACCAGGGAAGGGCATGGAACGTACCAGGGAAATTGCAGGGTAAGATACGGATGATGTAGAAAGAATCGGCCACTGTATTGTCTATTGCAAGGGCCAACCACTGACCAATCCCCGCAGTGGAAGCCAAAGAATCCACCACATATGCACGGCAGGGTAGAGGGTATGACTGGTACGCAGGAGCAAGGAAGGAGATGAAAAAAGGTCGAAACCTATTACCAAATAATGGGCTAAAGCTGAGTCTGTCTGACACTCTCTCCTGCCGTGAATATGTGGTGCATTTTTTGTTTTCGTGATCGGGGTTTGGGTGGTGCGGTCCACGGCATTCAGCAGTATGGTGAGTTATTATCTTCAATATGTTATTATATTGTTAGTTTACCCAGCAATTTCCCTGGTACATTTCATGCCCTCTTCTGCTATTGTGGCTAAGAATGTGGGGATTTGGGGGGGGGGTCGCAGCATAATTCTTTCATAAGTGTTTACCAAAGGGTGAGAGGAATCCATCAATATCAATATTATTGCTTTTGATGTTGGGAAGGCATTGTAAAAAATTGCTATATATATGTATATTTATTTATGTATTGTATATTAGTATATACCTATTTCAAAATAGCCAGGTAATTTACCTTGCAATTATTATTCTTCCTTGTCTTTATAATTCTTGGTGTAATATATAAGAATATCTTGTTGTTTACCATTGCGTGACGCAGGTGAAAGTATTGATAATTGTTTACAGAGTGACTGCACCCCATTCAGGCAAAGACCCAATTACTTCAGCCACTTTTGGGGATATACAAACATACCTTATGGACAAAAAACCTTCCTGACCTTAGGGTTTGACCCACCAAACCTGCACCCATTTGCTGTTTTTTCCTATTAGAGGCTCTACCCTCAGGCCTTTTCTTACTCTCTGCGTGGCATTTGTTGCAACCCATATTCTTTAACTTAGACAATGCACAGATTATTTTTTTATCAGTGAGTGTATTTTTATGTTTCTTTATGATTGTGTCATTAGATTTTCTTGTAAATGTTTGCCAAAGTTTTACATAATGCATAACTTCCTTATTATCCTTGCAAAGGAAATACCATAGATGAAAATTATCGTATCTCAATCTCAGGTCAACACCGTGGCTGACGAATGTGTTTTCACACACTCTGCCCATCCTTCCAACCCTACCCTACCCTCTCCTGCTAAGCTAAGTGGAATACACCACAACCCACATATTTTTAAATCTTTCAGATAAGAAAAAATGTTTGAGTGTTTTATCCACCTTTTTTAACCAGTATTAACTTTTTTTTATATACCATCACAAACACATTTATGAATATGCCTATTCCACACTATGAAGGCTACTTGACAATTCACAACCAAGTACTCAACTTCAATAAATCCTCACACCAAACTTCCATCCATATCATTGAGCTTCATATCTCACTGCTTTAGGCACTCCATGGACTCTCAAACCCCTCAGTCATTTTGTGTTCCTCATCTTCCAATTTCAGCTTTACCTTACTCTTCCCCTCCCCTCCCTTCCTCCTTTCCTTTCCACACTTTTCATTCCTACCACCACAACCCCTCTTCCTCTTCATCATCATACCTACCAGATATTATAATGGGCTTTGAGACATGGCTGACCCTCAACATCGACTCTGCTAAACTTTCCCCCCTTTACCACGACTGTTATACGCAAAGACTGGTTGACCAACAAGTTCAAGGCAGATAAAATTTGAAACACTTGAGTATTTCTTCTCATGTTATTTCCAGCAGCAAGATGATGGAGGAGTATGGCAAGGAGGGTCCCATCCTTAGCATCTTCCTGTCGGAATTCCACAACATTGCAGGCCCTAAAATAGTGTATCAGTACCCTGAGAACTATGTCACAAAGGAGGTGTTTGATGCAGTTTCTGTCTACATCATCCCAAAGCCACAGATCCAGAAGAGGATCATCACAGTCAATGTCCTCGGCCACAAGATAACAGGCTTCCCCAATGAGATCAAGAACCCCAGGTACGTGCGCAATGCCCTCATCTTCAACCTGTGCTTCGTGTGTGACTCCAAGTCCCGTACAGTGCACTATGAGCCTGCTGTCAAAAAGCTCTCCGAATACCTGGAGAATCTGGAGCTGGAGAATGGCTTCCTCTCTAACGATGACAGTCGAGAGCAGATACCCAGGATGCTGCGCCACATCCTGGAGGAGCTCAATGCACGGGGAGAGTGCACCGTGACAGTGAACCTCAGTGATCAGAAGCTGGTGGCAGCAGAGCACTCAGAGCGCAAGGTAGGTGACAAGGGAGAGCGCAGGATGAGTCTTCTGAGTGACAGGAGGCACCCTATTGGTGATGGGAAAATTGGGAGCCAGGAAGGCCATGAAAGGAGGATGAGCATGCTGCCCGACCTCCAGCAAGAGGAGATCTCTCAGAGGGTGCTACGGAAACCTTCAGACTCTGAATCGAAGGCCCGTCGCAAATCCTTTGATGGGAAGAACAAGCAAGGCCTCAGCACATCTGTTCTTCATCTGAAGGTAATGGAAAGTAGGAGGTTCCTGTTTGCCCTAAGATAATTTGACATTCATTGTTTTTTAAATATAATTAAGATAATCTGTTTCCTCAATCCCTTCTCTGAAGGATCCCCCATAACCCCTCTCTTACTTGTCCTCACATTTACCCCAAGGACAATTTCTCCTTCAACAGGTGGTTCGCATATGGCCTGACCCACCACACGTGCTCGACCACCATGTCCCCATTCTGATTTCAGAGAGGGTGCTCAGCCAAGGGGAGCACTGGGATTTAACCACACAGCAAGTGCTGCCCTACATTGATGGCTATGCACATGTAGCCAAGATTGCAGCAGCAGCTGATGTCGAAAGCAACCTGGTCAAGGTAGAAAAGCATTAAAAATAGCTTTTTGTCTGAGAAAACATGATTAACTATGTATGCTTTACAGTTTGTTTGTGTTTCTGAGAAAAATCACACATTTTAGAAGAGTAGATTAGATGCAGACAAAATGAGAGAAATGCTGTCTTTCAAAAGTGTTTCATCCAACAAGAAAAGTCTGAATTCCATCACTACAGTTTGAAACATCTTGATATTTGTATTTCTGTTTTCTTACTGTGGTTGTTTTTCATTCTATCCTTTCTCATACCAATTGGCTTTTCCTTTGATAGGCATGCGTGGAGAACCTGCTCTACTATGACCAGGTGCGTCTCCTGCCCATCTTCCAGTACTCAAACATATACACAGTGACTTCAAACATCGGCAAGCTCTATGACAACCATGAACTGCAGGAGGAATGCCAGCGTGCCGTTGGGAAGAATTCAACCTCGTTGCCACAGCTCTCACACATCATGATGCTCTACTGCAGGTATGGGCGGGTCTCAAAATGTAATGGTGGAAGGTTTTGCATTGTCAGATTATATGGTGCCCTGAAGAGGATTATCTACTTTTTATCCATTCACAAAAGTTGAAATATCTATCAAAGTTTGGGGGGTACATCAGCATGTTCTGCCCCATGCTTGGGTTGTTGTCCAGCCAGAGTCCTAAGGCATCCTAGTTGCAGGACCCTGGGTTTATGTCATAATTAGATGTAATCTAGAGTTGACAAAATTTTCCAGGGGTAGAATGGCTAAAAATGATGCTTCTGTTACTATATTGTTACTGACATTACTAACAGCTCTATACTAGAAAATATCGAAAATCAAGGAAAATGGTAAACAGATGTTCAACACACAATTGGGCATGGCATGTACATACATGCCATGCCCAACAGGGTTAAGATAATTACATTTTGTGGATCTCCTGTCTTCAGAAAGCCCCCCTAACTAGCCTAGTCCCTACCATAACATTCAGGGGTTCTTTTAACCTAAAGGTGTTTGCCACTGAGAATCATGATTTTTTGAAGTATTATTATTGCTATATACTCATGGTGTGTTGAACAATATTTCAGTTTTTATATTGAATTCAAATGTTTTGCATCTATGGGACCAATTTGTTGTCATTTTCAATGCATTTGTAAGTTTAGGAAGCATTTGATTTGTATTTTTTAGTGTTTTCTTTACTACATATTGGATAACTTTTATCCTAACAAAAGGATCCTGAAGGTATCCTCAACCCCTCAATTTTATTTATTTATTTATTTATTTATTTTTTAATAGATATGATAACGATGTTAAGGAAGACAATGATGATGTCAGTGTTTATAGATATTTGAAATAACGGTGATTATGATGATAATGACAGTCTCTCCACTTGCTTGGCCTCACAACAGCATGACCTACGGGGTGAGCGTGCGGGACCTGTGCATCCGCTTTAATCCACAGGCACTCAATGTGGATGAGCGGAGACTTATCCAGTTCGGCCTCCTGCACAACCTCATCCGGCGGCTGCATCAGTATCCAGTCTTTCTCAGTCCTGATGGGGAGGAGGGGGAGGAGCAGGAGGAGCAGGAGGAGCCCCCCCACCCCAGGGCACCCCCAGCAGGCTGAGTGCTATACACCGGTTGTGCAACGGTTCCCACTCCTATGATGAGATCTGCTGCCGGCTTGGATTGACACACAAGGAACTGCATGACAAGGTGGAGAGGGACCCCAACATCCATGTGTTGTGGAAGTGAAGGCAAATCTAAAAGTTGATTTCAGAGCAGAAAGCGAGGGGAAAGCGGGACTTGGAATAGAGTTGGAATAGGAAGTGGGGGTAAAGTAGAGATGAAGTCTGAAGTGGAAAGTCTAAGGGAAGGGGGGCTGATGAAGTGAAGAGTAGAGGGAAAAGGAAAGTGAGGCTGTGGGATGTGAAATAGAAAAATGGAAAGTGAGGAGAGATGTGGCAGTGGAATGGAGTTGAAGTGAAGATGAAGCAAAATATGAAGCACTGAAATTCTAATTGTTTGTTTGTGTGTTGAAGTAAAATTTGTTATCTAATTATTTTTGCATAATATGATTTCTTGGGATTGTAATTTCATTTTTGTCTCGTGTAATATCTGTCTTTCCCATATTTGCTGGATCAATTACAATTATATTCATTCTATATGTTAGAATGAATATCTGGACACAGTAGTAGTAGATAATAACAAGTGGCTGCAAAGACAGTGTTGTGCATTTATGGAATACTTGTTTGGATTTGTGTGCTTACTGTATAGGTGGAATGTGTGTATGTATGCCTGTGTGTGGGAAATTCTTGCAGATGTATTTGTGCAGAGGCAAGAAATGCAGGAAGCCCGTCTGGTAATCATTTGCTCAAACAAGGATTTTGCATTTTGATACTGAAGCAGAAATTATTACTCTTCCATTCTAACAAATGTAGAAAATGCTTGAATGAGAATAAATAATTCCACAATATAGGATATGTAACTGACATTTCTACATTGCCTCTTCATCTGAATCAAGTACTTGTAGTGAAAATGCGATAATGAGACATCAATTGCAAATCTTTGTGTGTGAATTTATTCATTCTCAGTCATACCTTTCCTATATATAGTTAAGAGTCATATGTCATATGCCAGAGTATTATATACAACTGGATTTATTTCAATAACATCACATTTCTCTCTTTGTATATTACAGCTTGTGTCTGACAGAGTTTATTAACTAAATGAAATATGTTTATATATGACAGACTGAAGTAAAGATATATGTCTGTAAAGCATTTTTCTTTCATTTTTAAATGTTTCTCTTGTACCAAAAATAATAAGGATTTGTTGTATTTGAATACTACATGACATTAATGTCAACTGTGGTAAATTAAGAAATATAATAAAGTCATAGCGATCTTTAATTAATTCAATATAAAATTTATTGTTTTTATATCATTGATAACACAAGTAGGGAGATGAATTATAAATATTGAATAAATAGTTAATGGAAACCAACTTTACCAGAGTGAAATATGCTGCCAAGACTGCATTGTGCATCTTACCTAGACAGTGGAATCTACGTACCACCTTCTCCAAGCCTAATTCCCCCTCTCCCTACTTGCCCCTCTACCCTGGAGCAACAAGCTAGGTCCTAAGCCTAAAATTGAGAGTAGTAGCATTACACAAAGGGAAGGATTTACGTGCAGCAGACTTCTAAGGACGGAGAAATACTTTCCATCTGTCAAACTCCTCTTTCTCAGTCTTCAGAGTCTGATAAGCCAACCGTAAAATAAAGGAGATACAAGGAAGCACTGACATACCATAGGCAATATATATTGAGGGAGCATACAGGAAATAAACATGAGTGGCTCAGGCCGCTCACTTGCAGCATCTTCCACCTGGTTTCCATTACTCCCTAGGCCTTTTAAAGCATCTCATGTGCATCAACATTACCTTCTCTTACTGTCACAGGAAAGAGTAGTTCATATTACATGCACCATATAGCAGTCGGCAGAGGTTGAACTATGTGACTTGGCATGGGACCTTTATTCCTTGCACTGTGAAGAACCCATCATGTAAAAAAGACATGTAGTTTTGACTTTGGAATGCAGGCTGAAGGGCCCAAATTTGTAACATGGACACCTGGCCAAGGCTGTGCCATGGCTCATGGATCCAAGCAAGATAAGCGAGGCCTTCCCCCAACACAACTCTGGAAAGCAAGATGAGAAGAGAGAAAGAGAAAGAAGGATCCCTTGCCTCGTGAGTCCTCTAGAACCAGTCCTTCACGTCCAGGTATCACACCTCCTTCATAACCTATCAGTTTCTTCCCAGGGAAAAAGTACCCATTACAAACAGAAAAATGGGAGAATCAAAAACTTACTGCCATTTTACAGAAAAAAGCAAAAAAGTGATCACTCTCTACCACAATGCTGATGGGTAATAAAACACCAAACCAGACCCTGATGAAAGTCAGAAGGTGAGACATACCCCCAGTAGTGGCAAGAAGTTTTCTAATTTCTTGCCCCAAGGTAGTACAGGCAAGGAGAGAGGATAGTGGAGACTAGAGAGAGTCAGGGAAGAGATTTCTTTTCCCAGTGCATTGGTAAGTCTGGCATACCATACTATCCTTTAACACCCTATAACCTTTGACATCTAACACATTTTATCCTAATTATTAACACATTTTTACCCGTTTCGCCACAATACTTTACCATCTTGCTATAAGGCCTTTGATGTTTAGCACATTTATTTGTTTCAACCATTAGCCATTAAGTCTATCATACACTTTAGGCTGCAGTGTTAAACTCTGGTAAATTTGGATGTGCCCGGCATTGGCATCACTTTGAGGACAAAATGATAATTATGGAAAAAAAAGGAAGTATGAACAAAGAATAGCAAATACTGATGCCACCAAAATTACATCAAAACAAATTGTGACAAACTGTTTAATTTTTTAGGTTCAAAATTAAACACTTCCTTTCATTCTTTTTTATTCTGAACTAGCAGATACAAAATATATATACATATATACATATCTACATATGTACAATATAATGTTATAGTGAAAAACATGTACTTGAGTGTATTTATCATCCTGGAGATGCTGAGAATTTCATTATTCTTAATGACAAGAGAAAAGTATAGTTACAAAAAAGGGAGGAAAATGGAAAGACAACCAAACAGATGAATAATGAATAAAAATTGTATAGAAATGTAAAAATATCAAATAATACTGACAATCAATTAAGCCATAAATCTGATTATTTTTGAGGTTTCTTGAAGAATGTCACCTTCCTATTACCTTCCTTAAACTTAATTGACGAAAGAACAAATATCCGTGGGGTTGATAACTGAAAATCACTTCAATATTGCACTTATCATTAAGGGAATGCTCTCAGTTATGTGTCTACTAAATGTTATAGCTTTTTATATTGAAAAGTATTTCTCTCTGAGTTCTCCTCTTAATCTAATTATGATTATTACTTTTATATGTGTATCCTTCATAGTGGATACCATTATATTTTCTATTTATTTATAAAAACAAATTATTACGAATTTATAGGATATGTCATACTACGTATAAATACAGACGACATAAATATCTAATCAACAAGTCATAAATGCTATACACTTTTACCATCAAAATATTGTAATTTTTAATACAGTGTCGACAAACATTTCTGTTTGTCTGACCATAGCTAAACCATGCTAGTTCTAACAAAGCAATGGTTTATGGCAAACTTCATACCCAGAAAGAAGCCTCAATAAGTTCTATATCAATGGCAAAGAGAAAATGTGATCTTAGCATAATAGATTTAAAGATTTAAAGATTTAGTTTTAATGCCATTTGTTACAATGGATATTCTTTGCTGTGACATGCTGTCTGTTTTATTTTGCCCAAATCTCCCCCTGTGTGCAAGGAACGGATGGGGTTACCACTCACTGGCCAGGCTTGGGATTGAATGCAGGTCCGCAAGATTGCTAGACCAGCACCTTACCGCTGCGACGGCACAAGACACAAAGCTTGTGTGACAGGCCTTTCGTGACGCACTCCTCCTCCACAAGGCAAGATATCGCCAACTGTGGTGTCCTCCTTTAGCAGATCAGCCTCTCATCAGTGAAAGCACAATGGACAGTGTGCACCAGGAAGAGCATGGTCATGGAATGAGATGGCAGTAAAAGGAAAATCTGTTCTACAAGAAGGCAAAGGTGGACAATAACAAACATACATACCTATATGTATGTATGTATATCTGTACTTATGTATATGTATGTATATAAATACAAACACACATGCACATGTACACTCACACATATTAATATACAGTATATACACATACACACTGTGTGTGTGTGTGTGTGTGTGTGTGTGTGTGTGTGTGTGTGTGTGTGTGTGTGTGTTGGTGTGTGTGTGTGTGTGTGTGTGTGTGTGTGCGTGTGTGCGTGTGCGTGTGTGTTGTGTGTAGACTGGCAGATGGATAGACACATAGATAGATGTAGATGGATAGACTGGTAAGATAAAAACATTTAAAGATGAGGACATGCACTGCCCACTATGGTTTAAGCAAATTTTGTACATAGATGGCTTTGCAAGCACTTGGTTAGCAAGGAGTCAGTCACTGGACCTGACTCATTTCCTGAATATTCAAGCAAAAAATCTTATTATTGTTATCATTGTTTGTCATTCTGATTGTCATTATTAAGATATCATTAATATTAACAATAATAATATGCGTCAAAATACTTTTCCTCTCAAAACTTCAAGGACAAGGTAAACAGGAGAGATCAGGTCGGTCAGGTGACTCAGCACTTCTAGAGCCATCTGTGTATAACCAATATGAATAAAACCAAAACCTGGAGGGCAATACATGTTCACACACTCCTGGTACAGATAAATGGTTCTGATATTGGGGTTGACGGTTTTAGTGCCAGTAACCTAAAAATGGCATCAAGGTTTGTAATGAATACTAGGGCAGGGCACAGAACTCATGAAGACGGACAGAAGCTTCCCTGAACCAACAGCTGTTTTAGGCCAACACCTTAGCATAAGAGTCCAATCTGTTGCAATTTTAGCCTTTTAATTCTGTTTACAGTTAGATTGTTACAGAATCAATTAGTCACCAAGGAGACACTTACCATGCTTATCTGATATAACCGGTTTACTCCTTACCTTGTTTTTCAAAAGAAAGTTTATTTCTAATATTCTTTTACTATGAGTATTGTTAATTACACTAAAATAAACATTGTTAACAATACTACTACTAATAATAATATTAATAATAATACTTATGATAATAATAACAATAATAATAATGATAGTATTGGATTTTTTTTTCTGAAAATTCAAGGAATGGGGTAATCTGGTTAGGCTAGGTAGTCCTCCCTACCGCTTATGGAGCCATCTATGTGTAAAGAAATATACAAAAATACAGTGAACAGTACATGTACCCGATAACAATGGGTTACCGTGGGTGGTTGCCCAGGACACCTGGGATCAATTCTGCCTGAAATATGTACATAATGTGAAACTCTGGTTTATTTCTATTACAAGAAATGAGTGCAATTGTACTTGAGAGGTTAAAGATTGAGCATGTCCATTCTACACTTGGATTTAACAAGCAGATGATTGCTAAAATCCTAAACTAAATCATAAAAACTATAGGCATGGACAGAAGGAAGAATGAAATGCCAAAAAACAAAACAAACAACAAACGAGAAAAGACATTTGAAATATAAAAAAGGAAAAAATATTCTTATGACTACCAACAATAGTAACAATAAGGGGAAAAAAAAAAAAAAAAAAAAAAAAAAGACACCACAGTACAAAAAATGACCTCTTATAGCTCGATCCCTGTTCCTTCTTACTTCTTCCCTGCGGCTCACCCTTCCTCCTCCTCCTCCTCCTCCAAAGAGATGGAGCCCGATGATGCTGAACTCCCTTTGCTACCTCCGTTTGCCTCTGACAGCACATACTCAGCAAAATCCTGTATCTTGTGGTGTTGAATTGAGTCAAGGACCCACTTCTCTGACAGGTGGGTGACTTTCAGGGGGCGGGTTCCTGACGAACCTGATGGGGCTGAAGATGAGGAAGGAGGGAGTCCGATGGCCAGGTTGGCGGAGCGGGAATGGGACACCACTTTGGCCCCTGTTAGCTCAAGGAGGTTCTGTGGGTACGAGAAGGAGACCAAGCCAGTGAATGAGTGTCTAAGAGACATGAGTAAAAGAAGAAGAAATAGAGGAGGAGGGAACAGATATGGAAAAGATGGAATATGGAATGTGGCTCACTGAAAGAAGAAATAGAAAAAAGAAAAAAAAATATGAGGAAAAGAGCCAGGACTAAAGAAAAACTGTAGCAATAACAGCATTAAAACCTCTTCTTAACTCTCTTTCTCAGCCTTACCCTTAGTTGGTCTGTGGGAGGAGTGCATCCTTCTGAAACATAGATGGAACCCACTCCAGAAAAGAGTGTTTGGGTGTAATTCCCTTTTCTGCCTCGCTCCTGCTTTTGTAGCCGTGAGATCTGTGTGACAGAGGGAGGAAAGAAGCATGAATTGTGCATCTGAAGGTACAACTGGCAAAAGCAATGTCCTGGGCACTTCTTTAGTTATTGGTACTGTGTTCCCCAAGTTTGTCAATTGGTACTTGATATTTTTGGAGGTAAAATTTCAATCTTGATAGAGGAACAGGGATTTTAAGCAATATTTGATGGTAAAATCTTAATGAAAACTCCATGCTGTATGATCTGAATTTGCCAACAAAATAGCCTTTATTCTGATAATGTGTTATATATTGTTGCACATTGTTAAATTGGATGTTATGATAGTTTTAGGAGTTGTAAGAAGAAGGAAGGGATGGAGGAAGGGAGGATGGGAGGTGAAGGAAGGAAGAGGCTCAGTCTCCATACCCATCACCAGCTTACCTTGGCCCCTGGAAAAGCCATGAAGAGCTCAAAAGCTTCCTCTGGTGCCCATCGACCCAGCTCAAGTGACTCATATACCCACGATGAGTCCAGAACCCACGCACCTCTTGCAATGCCTTGCAATAGGCTCAATGTGCGCCGTGCTTCCCCGCACACCACATGGGATGTCGATGCATCGATCACTGAAGTCACGCGGAACCCACCCAGCTTCATGATGACGGGGAGGAGGCTGGTCTTCTCTCTGGGATAGGAGGGAGGGCAGGAGGGGGAGGTTACAGGGGATAACAGAGTCACAATAAAAGAAAAGAAAGCCACAATACAAAAGGAACAATCAAATGTGACATTCCAAGTTTTATGCATCTCTTCAATGTTTTTTCATCTGACAAGGGTCTCAAGCATTTTCAATCTTTGTTCATCTTGAGCCATGATATTTGATGGTGGGTATGAGGAGAGAAGGGAGGAAACACAGCAGGAGAAAGTTGAAATATGAACAGAAGAAGAAGAAGAAGAAGAAGAAGAAGAAGAAGAAAAGAAGAAGAAGAAGAAGAAGAAGAAGAAGAAGAAGAAGAAGAAGAAGAAGAAGAAGAAGAAGAAGAAGAAGAAGAAGAAGAGAAGAAGAAGGAGAAGAAGGAGGAGAAGGAGGAAGAGGAGGAGGAGGAGAAGGAGGAGAAGGAGAAGGAGAAGCATAAAAGATGCAAATGAATGAAAATAAAATATTGAACTGTGTGTGTGTGTGTGTGTGTGTGTGTGTGTGTGTGTGTGTGTGTGTGTGTGTGTGTGTGTGTGTGTGTGTGTGTGTGTGTGTGTGTGTGTGTGTGTGTGTGTGTGTGTGTGTGTGTGTGGTGTGTGTGTGTGTGTGTGTGTGTGTGTGTGTGTGTGTGTGTGTGTGTGTGTGTGTGTGTGTGTGTGTGTGTGTGTGTGTGTGTGTTGGAGGAGTTGGAGGATGAGAAAGGGGGACTGGGGAAGGTGGTGAAATATCAGGAAAAATGTCTGGAGGGGAAGGGTCTGGATAATGATTCTGTTGTGATAGAAGGGATTCATGTGAGTATTCAGGAGGGAGGGGTAGCGAGGGTGGGGTATGTTGGGAGGATGTAGGAGGAAGGGGGGTGGAGGGAACTTGGGAAGGAGGAGAAGGATGGATATCTGTAAATGCTTTAAATGTAGCAGGAGTAGGAACAGAGGGATTGGGGTTGGATGAGGGAGTGGAGTGTTTCCTTGTGTCATCTTTAGGAAGTTTTGGATGTCTTCAAGGGTTTCTGGAGGGGAGTTGGGTGACAAAGACTGAGAAACAAAGATTCTCTTGTGAGGAGGAGAATAGATATAGGAGGAGCAGAAGACGATGTGTAGGAGGCATGTAGTAGGAGAGGTGGAGTGGACATTAGGTAGCGTGAGCATTCAAGTGGAAGCGGTAGAGAGGGTGGGGTATGTTGGGTGGATGTAGGAGGAAGTGGGGTGGAGGGAACTTGAGGAGGATGGATATCTGCAAATACTTCAAATGTAGAAGGAGTAGGAACAGAGGAATTGGGGGATGGATGAAGGAGTGGAGTGTTTCCTTGGGTCATCTTTAGGAAGTTTCGGATGTCTTCAAGGGTTTCTGAAGGGGAATTTGGTATAGAGGACTGAGAAACAAAGGTTCTCTTATAAGGAGGAGAAGAGGAGATGGATATCTGAGGAACAGATGAAGAGGAAGGTGTAGGAGAGTGTGTAGTAGGAGAGTAGTAGGAGAGTGTGGAGTGGAACGTTTAGGTTGTCTGGTACGACAACTAAAGTGAAGAGGAGGGGTAGGTATCCGGGAAATGGTAGAGATTGGAGTATCTGGATTAAGGATGGAAAATGGGTTTGACTGGTGGATAGGGCGAGTAGACATAGGACGTAGGTTTTGGGTATAGGGAAAAGATACCTGGGGGGATGCAGAAATATCTTGGGTAGATGGTGAGGGAGCAGAGCGTAGGACTGTTTAGAATAAGTTTGAAGAGAAAAACCTCGTCGTCGTGCTTCCTGTCTGGCCTCTCACAGTGAGGCCTAGTTTAAATCTGAAGACTGCTACCTCACATTCAAACTTATAGGCAGGGCAGCTCCTATAAAACACATTATGGGAGTCTCCACAATTGGCACATGTACGTGACTGAGCAGGGCAATTTGAACGGTCATGACCAGGTTGGGCACATAAAGGGCATCGGGCTGTGGAGCGACAATTTTGGTGGGTGGAAACCTCATGGGGGAGGTCTTGTCTATGGAAGCTAATTTTGGCAATATTGACATGAGATTTATGTTGGCCTCTAGGAGGAAGAGTGTAACACTGTACTGCTACTGCATCATATTCATCAAGGCAAGAAAGTAAGTCATTTTCACAGTCTGACCAGTCCTTGTTATACATGGGACAAGCATTTGGGGGAATAGAATCAGTTCCAGTACAAGTATTAAGAGTTGGGTGAGGTTCGGTAGGAATGGGTTTGCCAGTAAGGACAGTTAGGGCAGATAGTGCACGAGCTTGAGCTTCAGATGTAACCGTGACAAGGCGTGAACGATCAGAGCGACTGCGAAAGGTAACCTTGCCTACTTGTTCCTGGAGGCACTGCTGAAAGAGAAGGGTATTCTTAGAATAGGGGGCTGTGGGGGGAATCACAAAGAATCGATCCCACTTGGCTGGGCCAAATAGAGTACCCAGAAGGTTTGCAGAGGTAGACGTAGTAGAAGGACGAGGGCGAGAGGAAGATGGGGTGGTGTAGAGTGTAGTAATTCTGCGGGGGGAGGACAATAAGGATGAAGAGTAGTAATAAGGGAAGAGGGGGTTGACATTGAAGAGGGATGTGTAGTAGGGATGAAGAGGAGAATGTTGGGATGAGGAAAAGGTATTTTCCAGGGGTTGAGTAATAACCTGAATGGGTTTTTCAGAATGGTTAGAGTTGTTCATAAGCATCAAAGAGGGGGTATTAGCATCAGTGGTTGGAGCCGTGGTCAAAGGAGGGGCAGGGGTCGGAAAACCATCAAAATCAAATTCAGGCTATTTGATGAAGGGGCAAGCCTTATTGCCTTTATTAAGGGTAAGGAATCTTCATTACTGGCCATGGTGAGCCTGAATAAACTGGTCTACCCCTTAGGGTCCCCTAAGGGTAAGGGTAAGGGCTAAGTAATCAACCAAGGGAATACCGTGCCCGTGGCTCCCAGAGGCCGTTCGTGATTGACACAAAGCCAAAGTTTCATCCTTTTAGCACAGCTCTCACACCTTAGGAATGGGATAGAAGAGGGGAGTAAAGAAGATACGGAAGAGGAGAGAAGAGAAGAAAGGACCAAGCAAAATTAGTTGAGGCAATGGCTGAGGCCCAAGGCAGGGGTAATCCTCTACATTGGGTCTCAGTCCCCGTCTCCTAAGCCCTTCCACGATGATAACGAGCTAGGTTTTGGGAGGGAGAAGATACGGAAGAGGAAAGAAGAGAAGAAAGGACCAAGCAAAATTAGTTAAGGTGAGGGCTGAGGCCCAACGTAGGGGTGATCCCCAACATTGGGCCTCAGTCTTTGTCTCCTAAGCCCTCCTACATTGACAACGAGCAAATTATTGGGAGGGACTGTTGAGTATATTGCATTATCAAAGTAGTTTATTTTCATCATTCCTCTTTTTGTTGTTAATATTATTAGAACTGTTATTACGAGATTCTTAGAATTATATTCATAGCCTCTATCATTTATCACTGTTATTGCTATTACAATTGTCATTATCATTGCATAGTATACTGCCATTATAATTGAAGTATATCCCTACATTGCATCAATTGTAATAATCAACTTCTAAATCCTCTCATATCAAGTCACTCAGGGCATTAATCTCACAGGAATAGTTTCATCTATCATCAATCATACTATAGAGCCTCAAAAAATGTTTGGTGGGACTTATCCTTTATATAGCCTGAAATATGATCAAAGTTCACTTCAGCCTGTGCAGAAGTAACAGATGAGAATGAATAATTTTGTAAATTGGATGTGTATTTTGAAATTGTACTCAAATGTTATTTTATACCTAATCTACTGTTTGGTATTCATAATGAATTGACCTTTTGTCTGCTAAAGCTTTGGATCCCGGTGATGTGACCATCATGTCATGAAAAAAATTTGGCTGATGGCCAGGTAACTGGAACATGCTGTTGTGAAAAAAAATGGCAGGGTAAGTTACAGGAAACTGAATGAATGAATAAATGAATGAAAGAGAGAGAGAAATTTTTTTTAATGGTTATTGTAATATACTATGAGAGATGATATGGAGTCTGTGCAAGGAAAACATTCCACTACATTCTTGATACAGTAAGTTAGAAAGGAGTCTTGACAACACGCCAATCAAGTAAGTCTAATGCCTGGATATTGGGCCTTGTGCGGGCAGTGAAGCACCCAGATCCAAAGGGTTAAATTCAATAATGATCACAATTTCATGTAACTGACATTTTGATAACAAATCTTCAAAATCATTCTGCTTTGATGTGGATGTAATAGCTAACTACCAATTAAAGTTCTTTCACTGTGGAACGTGTACTCTCACTCAGTTTTTCCCATGATTCAATTAGGGATTTCCATAATAATTATCATACAAAATTAAGTATTACATAAGCACTGCATTGTCTAAGAGAGTGTCATAGAAGAGCACAGCCTGCACTGCTTTCCTATTTCTTCAAGCTGAATTGCCATTAGTACAAGCTCAGCCATGGGATTTCAGAGGAAGTGGGTCATGCAGTGTTAGCAGTCATGATGCTGCTGATGATAATAACTTTGATGATCAAAAGTTGGGATAATAATAACAAAGATGGATGAGAGATGATGGCCATAATCACAGTCGTAACAATAATAAAAATAAATAAGAATAATTCAATGACTACACAGTAAACCCTACTTTAACAAATGCAACTGACACATCGTTACACAAATACATAATCAGCATTAATTACAAATATAAGCTTAAACATTTCATAATAGGTAATAATCAAAATATTAAAGCAAGAGAAGTAAAGCAAGAAAGTGTGATAATTATATATGCAATATATAAATAAATATGAGGTTCAGTAAATGCACTAGCGAACATAATAAATAAACTGAATGAAATGGTAGGGAGATGAGGACTTTCAGAAAGAGCTGTTTGCAAGGACTCCAGTGAAAAAAGATATATGTATAAATATGAGAGTTGTAATGGCATGCTAACTATCATAATAGCAGTAATAACACTTCTGATGAAAAATGATAGTAATAATAATACTTTTAACAATAGCATTGAGAAATAAAAACAATTACAATAGCAAAAACAAAATTAACATGATCAAAATTATTAATATTATCAAAATAATAATGGCAATCCTAATCATAATGTTAGCAAACATCCTAGCCAAGGCCTCCAGTGCCTTCCTGTGTCCCCTGCCCTCTGCCAGTCACGTACTTGGAATGGACGCTGCTCACGTAGAGGGAGGGCAGGCTGTCTCCCTTGGGTCGCCGCCCCCGCTTGCCCTTGGCCTTGAGCTCGCCTGCATGCTGGAACTCCTCTGTGGACCTGCGAGGCCGTGGCAGAAGGGGTATCCGGGACCGGGCCAGGAATTCCTCCTCTTCCTCTGAACCCATGAAGACATCCTCATCCTCAGACTTCTTTTTGACAGGTGCTGCATTTAGCCGCATTGACCTGCGCACAGGTACTGTAGAGGCTCCCCGGGTGCTCTTCTTGACCTGAGAAGAGCCCGCAGCCCGCCGGCCAGGAGAAGGATTCCTGGGGAGTGGTAGGCTGCTCAGGCTGCCTCCCTTCTGGTTCTTTAGGGCTGTGCGCTGTGTCTTGCTGCCCCGGATCACCAGGTCCGTGTAGGGTCTGCGCAGGAACTTCTTGGGATCCTCAGGCGTTGATGGGACAATGAGGTCCTGTGAAGGTGCTACTGGGTCCATGTTGAAGAGCCTGTGGCCACGCAGTTGTGAAGCAGGGAGGCTGGACGGGAGCTGGGAGGAGGTCACCCCAAAGGACGGGGAGCTGAGTGTAGGGGGAAGTCTTTGATTTACGGCCTTCTCTCTCACAGGGCTGTGCAATACCTCCACTTCCAAGATGTCTGCCCCACCAATGGAGACAGACTTGCGCTTCTCCTTGCCTCCCTGTTTGCCCATGCTTTCTGCCTTCTTCAAGATGCTTTGTCTCCTCATCTTATTTCCCCCTGGCTCTGTGCTACCCTCTTGTTCTGTGTTCACCTCTCCATGTGCTGGACCTGCCACAACAGTACCTTCCAGATTTCCTGACACAAAATTGTTTACGAGAGATATTGCTCTTTTGCCCGGTGAAGAGGATTTCTTTTTTACAGCGCAACTTTCTTCACTTCCTGAATCCTGTGTGTTATCCCCATACTTTCTGCGCCTGCTGCTGCTCCTTCTACTGCCCAGAACTGCTTCCTCTGAGCTACCTGACCTGTCCTGACTAGAGTCAGAGAGCAACAGGGCTAGGCTCTCACTGCCTTTGGAGGAGTTGCCAGCTCTCAAACCCCCCTCGCTCTCAGAGATGTCTTCCCCCTCTCCACATCTTCTCTCTCTTGGTTCTCCTTCTCTCCCTCTATCTCTTTTTCTCTTCTCCTCATTGCAATCAGCCACCAGGCTCCCACTACCCCCATCCTCCTCCTCCTCCTCCAAGCCACTCTTCGTCCCATCTTTCTCAGTATCCATTCCTCTCACAGCTACTGCTGTTGTTGTCCTTGATACTGCATCCTGCTGCATGCTTTTCCCTCCCCCACAGCTTCCCTCCACCCCAGTATCCGAGGAGGAATCTTCGGATGAGCATTTGAGTCTCCTTTTGGGGTCAGTCGAGCACAGGGGGCTCTCTTGACCCACAGGCACCCTCTTCCTCTGCACAGAATCCGTTCTTGGAGAGACGAATCTAGAGTGTGAGGGAGGTAATAAATAGTAATAAATAATTAATAACACTAAACAGTATAAGTACATTAATTTTTTAAAATGGATAAATTAACAAAATAATTTCAATGTAAAAAATAAATCAGGATAATCATATAGATATAGAGAAAATAATAACAAACAGAAAATCATTATAAAATGTAATTACATATAGCAGGAAAGCAAGAGAGTGAAAGAGTGACATAGTGAGGAAAAGCAAAAGAGAATGAGAGAGAGAGGGAGAGGGAGGGGGAGAGGGAGTGAGTGTAGTGCCCTATTCTCGTGATCTCCATCACCTCGCAAACCAGAAAAGCCATCTGCGTCTTGTTTTACAGCAATTCAACCGTCCTCTGCCAACTCGTATATGTCAACAACTGTGACAATGACAAAGAGACCTTAGAACATACCAATCCAACCTTTACTGCTTGCAAACATTTGTATAATTATGTCTCATTTATACTCAAAATGTTCCTCATTTATGCTTTTTCTGTATCTCTGCTATTGTAATCATTATCCTTGTCAATACTCTACTTGCTTGTTCACCAATATTCTACTTACCATAAAGTTTTGGGTTGTAAAGACATATCCAGTGTCCTCGTCCAACTGAACTGTGTGACCAAAATAACTTTATGGGAGCATACACATAGACATACTTACGAAAGATTTATGGTTTCCATTTTCTTGTGAACAGCACTATCTACGAAATCACTCTCTTTACCGATGTTTCAAATGTCTTTACGTTTTATGATTACTCATCAATTCCGTCTCCTTATTATGAAACTTTTAGTCTTGTAAACAACATAATTCTCTTCTTAGTTAAAGATGCATGTAAGGTACCCCTTGTTTCTTCACTACAAACAGTCAAGTGATCATATGTTTCTAAATTTGTGTTCATTCAAATTCTTTCGTGTTTTCCAAACAAAATTTGTTCTTAGCAATTAATGAGAAGTCGTGACAGGCCATCACCAGCATGGCAAGACATCCTGCTTTTCCCACAGCACCTCCCCCACGCCTGTCCTCTGTACTCCAGCTACCACCCTCCTGCTGTAATAAAGCATAATTCTGTGATGACTTTAACTCTAACACCAAGAAC